TTAATTATTAATATACATTTCATGGGGTTTGGGCAAGGCATGCAATGGAGAATATTGTAAGCAATGCTAACAATCTTGCTTGACTACACCTCTTTGTGGGAACTTGACCTAGCAATATTCCCACGGTTGCTAAAGGAGATACCTCCTGAAATGGGTTGACATGCTGTTGGACCTATTTTGTTCATTGTATTTTTAAACCGAATTTCATCTGTTCTCAAACTTACTAATGTGTGATAGAGAGAATATCAAACAGGCTGTCACAGTATACAAACGTTCTTTCACCATTAAAGTCCATAATCCAGTGGAAATCAGTTGATTGTTTTGTAGATTTGAGTCCTTAGTGGGGGGGCTATATTATGATCTTTTCTTACTTGGTCTCTAAATTCTAGTTTAGTTAATATATCCCCTTTTGACGTAAACTTAATTGTATATATATGTATTTTTTTTTTTTTGTAAGTTTTCGAATTAGAGATATTAGGCTGAGAGAAAAGTAAGGAAGAAAAATTGAGGGTTATTCTCAATTGTATATTTTTGTTTGCTATCCAACCATTTCTTTTCTATTGCTGCTCTGCTTTTTATTTTTTTTGAATATAGTATTTTGTAGTATCAGCTATGTCAAATTACAGCATACTAATCATTGGATAGAGAAATTAGCATCTATATATTATCAGGAAACCTTTATCATTCAATTATTAATTTTTATCCATTTATTTTCCTTTACTACGTTAATTTTATAGGCCATTTTGCTCGCTTGTAGTGGCAGATTTGAATTATTATTGTTAGTATTTTTGCCTTAGAATTAAATACATTGAAGTAAAACTTTTTATACTTAAAAGCAACTTCAATATTGAAGTGCATTTTCTATCAAAAAAACATATATATTGAAGTGCATTTTCCATCAAAAGACATATCAGCAACAGGTGATCTGCCTCAATGGCAAGAAGGGGAACCATCTCCATACCCCTAGCATATCCAAGGAAAAACATCACAGTAAATTGTGCAGTAGCCTTCCAGAAAACAGGGAGTAGTGATTATCTGGACTATTATTGATAGAAACCACAATCTGAGATTATTATTGATCGTGTTAAGATGTGAACATAATTATATTTAGAATTATTGTAAATATTTTATACTTTAAAATATTCTCTTTGTATACACTTATATATAGGTCATTGTACGTACAGTATAATTCAAGAAAGCAATAAATCTTTTTTCAGATATTTCTTCTTCTTTTCAGTTTCTAACAGATCGAAACCACAATCTGAGATTCTTAAAACTTCATGAATCAGAAAGCATTTCACTTCCACTACTTGAATTTCTCGCCAAACATTCCATGCTTTCCGCACTTAAATTTTCCATGCTTGAATTTCCCACCATGCTTGAGCTTCCAACCATGCCTGAACCTCCCACCATGCTTGAACTTGAACTTCCCATAGGGTGCAAACCACCATGCGCGAAATGATGAGCCCAATAAGCAGCTGCAGCGGCGGCAGCACCCCCAGCATTCATCGCTTCAACACCACCATGCCCTACAAATGAATTTTAATTAAAGATTCATTAACTTCAAACAAGCAGCAAACTCCCTTTAGACAATAAGGGTTGCGAACATCACAAGTCAGGTTCCAACTCATTGTCATGTTGAAGCATTTAACTTTCCTCATGAAACTGCCTCATGACACCTAAATCTTCAGCTTGCAAGTTTTCGCAGTTAACAGCATCAGCCATTATCACACTTGTAATTCACCAAATAAACAACTGTCACTATTAACAGCATATGATGCGTTTGTTACACATTATAAAAAAAATCATTTAAGAATATTTTAACAGCACGTGATGGATAAGGATTAAAATTATGTAATTTTTCACGTTAAAATTAAAAGGTACATAAAATAGTTAAAACTTAAAAGTCTAAAATTATGTAAACTTTTAAAGAGGTTGAAAGTTGACATTTAACCTATCTAAAACCATACCTGATTGATTCCCTCAAAAAAAAAAACATACCTGATTGTGATGCGTCCGGGTAACCAGCAGGTGGGTATGCGCCGGGACGGTAGCCCGCTGGTGGGTAGCCTTGCGGTGGTGCATATCCGTGAGGTGGATAACCTTGAGGAGGTGGGGGGTATCCTCCAGGAGAGGAAGGGTATGCGCCAGCACGATAGCCTGATGGTGGGTAGCCTTGCGGTGGCGCATACCCGTGAGGTGGATAATCTTGAGGAGATGGGGGGTATCCTCCAGGAGGTGGGGGGTATCCTCCAGGAGGGGGAGGGTATACGCTGGGAGGATAAGTGGATCTTGAAATCATCACAAAAGGACAATCCACTATGTGGGTCTCGAATAGAGACCCATGCCTGCACATCAAAAACAGAACAAGAACAGAACAATTATTAAATTACTCAATAAAAGTACCAAAAAAAATGGATAAAGAATTTGGCAACTTGGTAATTGGCATTGGAATATACCCCTTCTGCTTTGAGGCAAAGAACACATTTGCGTTTTGAGAGTAAAGCTGGAAGGTTTCACCTATGTAAGGCAAACCCGTTAAGCCAGGTGGGAAAGGGAATTTCCCTCGATTGGGAGAGAAGAAATTGAAGAGGGAATGGAAGAGGAAAAAAACAAAGACAAAGAAAGCGAAAACGGAAAATACAGAGGTGAGTTCCATATCTGGAGAGGAGGAAGTAGAAGTAGTGGTTAACTGATGAAGAAATTGTGAGAAGATGAAGTAAGAAAAGGGGGTATATATAGTAAAATGTTTTGAGGGAGGGAGAGAGGATGCGTGCAGGGAGGATATGGGAAGGCCTTTTTCCTGCGGTGCGAATCCCACACACCACGCACGGAATCTCCCTCCAGCTCATTTTTTTAGTCTTCTTATTTTCGGTAAGTTTCTGCACAGTCCTCGGAAGCTATCAGATTAAAAAAATTAATCTTCCTTTTTTATATTTCTCTCAAAATTTAAATTATAAACTTAATAAAAAAAATAACATTATTTACTATTGAATGATTTTGTTAGTGAACGATTTTGGGTGCATTCTTACATTAATTTAATGTATCTGAAAAATTAATATTTTTTATATATTAACTCAAAACTGGAATCATCCTTACATCCCTCCAGCTCATTCTTGTTCCGAGGCTTACGCGCATATGACCGATTACGATTTGAACTTAACTTGATTTGGTCTTGCAAACTAAGTTCTTTGTTTACTTTGATTCTGACTTTATTTCTCTGTGGTGGTGACTTATAATTTTTGCCAGAGACTTAAGAATTCAAGATGTTTAAACTCTATGGTGGTCTAGCAAATACGTGGTTTCAAACGATTCCTTTTAAACGAGGCTATTCTTTCTAAAAGAGGGGTTACTTTTGTAGTCCTATAAGTTTTATATCAAGTGGCAATGTGGCAGTTGAAATGGGTGATAATACATGAGAGGAGTTAACGTGGTCGAAATTGAAAATATCTTTCAGAAGAGGGGGGATTGGAATATGAAAACATATTTAGGAATTTCAGAATTGACGGTGTATGGACATTTTCACTGTCTGAATGATGCTTGTTTGGGACATGTTTGGTTGTCTGTTTTGGTAGCATGCTTAATGCTAAATTTAGTGACAAAATATTATTGAATTTGTCGTTTCTTATCGTATTTTAAAATTTTATGTTATTGTTTTTCCTCGCTTAACTGCTTCTCTCTTCTGATGAAATTGTTAATCTTTGAATCTTCAACGTATTGTCGTTGTCCAAAAGTTAAAAATTAATCATTTTATATACCACTTCTTTATCTTTGGAATCTGCTTTATTTCCTTGACTTTTGTTGCCTCTAATATTATATTGTGAATTTAATTTGATTGCATAAGACATGACCAACTGGATGCCACCGATTGAGGTATGCTTGTTTTTGTCTGTAAATTTAATTGAATAAGACAGCGACGAAACTGATGCCTTTGTTTAAAGTGTGCTTATTTGTTTCTCATCAACTACCGCATCATTGAATTGCATGAAAATGTTTGTTTTGCCTATTAGTTTATCAACCAGTAGTTTGGGAATTTGACACTCTCTAAATTCCT